CAGTTCTCTGCCCTCAGCATCAGGAATTCTCTGACTCAGAGCTTGAAGCTCAAAACGCAGGCCACACTGAACATTAGTTGCCAGTGCCTGAGGTAAAATATTTCCCTTTGTGCCTCAAGCTTCATCCTTAGATGAAGCAGCAGCCTGTTATTGATTTTCTTTGACTGGGCTCCACCTGGAGGTCCTTCCACACTGAGCGTAAGACAGAGCAGGCCACAGGATTCATCGATGGGGATCTGATCGAAAGCTTCCTGGATTTGGGCCGAGCTAAGATGCAGGAGGTGGTTAGTACGCTACAGGTAGGAAGCAACTGCTTCTCATCTAGCTTCATGTGTGTATGTTTGTGTTGTCATGGTATCAGTTTTATGCATGTTTAGACTTTTTTTCTTCATTGAAAAAATATAAGTGCATTAATCCCAGCTGAGTCCTCCTCAGCTCGCGTTGCCTTCTGGTTGGTTCAGCCTGTAGTAAAACATAATGGCCATGAATAAGATATAATATTAGGCAGCTGGGCATCAACTTGTTTTACGGCAGAGGTCCAAGAGAAGCATCTGCTGAAGAAGAAATGTATTTCAGAGCCGTCCCTTCTGTTTTTGACTTGAAGCACTGTTGAACGTTTTAAAGTTTTTATTAGCTGCCTGCTCCTGTGCTCTGTGAGTGGGAACTGGGTAATATCTTTAATGGCAGACCAGGTGGTGCTACCTTTTATTGTAATCTGCCTTTGCTGCTTCAAACAGATAAATAAATAATTCTATTCTGTTCTCAGTCTGTCTCAGCTCATGCTGCCTCAAAATATATACATATATATTTGAATCACTTTACAAAAGCTGCTCTGCTTCCCTTTAAAGATGAGAAGATGAACACGTTCAACATGGTTTGGTGAAATTAACTTTCAAGTCACAGTGCTGCTTTTAAGCTGTGCAACAAAAACACTTTGCTACCATTTTAGTAAAGAACTTTTCTTCAAAGTTTTTGATGCAATAAACAAGCGTTTCTTTGTTTGACCCTTTGGAAGAATTTCTTCTAATAGCAGCAGATTTAACTCAGAGAAAATCTAACTCTGTGACCTGTCTGTTTACTTAACCAAAGTCTGTTTTTAATTCATGGACTGATCTCAAGTTTTGACAAACAACAAAAAAACAACCCACTTTGTTTTACCTTTTGTATTCACTCATTTGTTCATCTAATGTGAAATAAGAGAAAACCAGTAAGTTTGCCCCTGATGTGAAGGCTCAGTGCTGTTGTTCAATTACAGATCGATGATGGCAGTGGAATGAAACGTGAAGCCACGGTGGATGAGGTGATTAAGATTGTAGAGGAACTGACGAGGATTCACTAACTGCACTACGATCTGGGCTCCTGCTGCCCCATGGAAGAGCTCAACAGAGGGATTACAGTCAAAATAGGGAGGGATGGGTTTTGCAGATTTGTAAATATAAAATCTGTGCATGTTTTGTTCTTCAGACTTCAATGATATGTCTGTCAACTGATGAAAGTACTCAACGTTTTAAGTGTAGAACTCCTGATTTAGACCCACAAAGTCTCATGGTGAAGTGCACGTCCACTTTTTTGGGCTCAGACAAATGTTAGCAGAACTGAGTGTGTTTGAATTTGTGTGTGTGTGGGTGGGTGTGTGTCTGCATTATTGCCACAGTGTAGACTGATATGTGACTATAAATAAGGAAGACTCCAGAAATTCCTCCAAACAGTGAAATCATTCATGAACATCTTTTTGTGACAGCTGCTGATGCTGAAGGAAAAAACGATTTATATCCAATCTGATGGTGACATGTTCCAAGGCTATTGTTGAAGTCTGCAGTAAAACACGCCCTATGAGACAGAAATTGAGGAAAAGTGATAGATTTATAGCTATTTTGTCTGTGATGTTTTTCTTTGTTTATTTTAATAAATTCTGCTTTAGTACCGGTATCACCTGTGGTTTACTTTTTGTCTGGTTTGACATTAATTCACTATATACACTCTACACCCTGCTATTATACAACCCCCCCAAAAAACAATGTGTATATATACTGTATATGTGTATATATGTATATATGCGTGTGTGTATATACATATATATGTTTATATATAGATGTATATAGATAGATAGATCTGTCTTTATATATATATATATATAGACATATATACATATACTCTTGGTGGTGGTTTGTAAATCATGTCGAGTTTCTTTCAGGACCAGTGGTTACGCGATTGACAGTTTGCAATCCATGTTACAAATCAGTCAGTAAACTTGTCGGCAGTACACGTTCTTACTGACCTTCGTTTGGTGAAGCTGCTTTGTCTTGAGCTGGGTTTCTGACATGAAGTTGAAGCCTCCACACACCCATGCTGGGCACAGTTTTCTTATAAGCTCCAGGTGCTTCGGAGAAAATAGAAACTCCCTCAGTGTTTGTATGTGACAATATGTGTATTGACTATGTAGAGCAACCAGTTGTGTTATTGTTTGATATACTGTACGCTGCGTATCATTCTCCACATTCTTTAAAATGTGTTAAATCATTTTCATCTGATTCATCTTCTCTGCAGCTCCTGGTTCAGAGGTTTTAAATGAGGTTGCATAGAGTAAATGTATACACCAGCCTTTTGTTTTATTTTCAAATAAGAAATCCTTATTTCATAACCTGAAAATGTGTGTGTTTCCTCTTTGGAGAATGGATGTGTGTGAGCTTTTGTAATATTCTCAAATTACTGTGTGTTGCCTCAAAATCTTGAGGCAATTTAATGCGCGGATGGTCAAGGTTCATTCTTGTCATTCATGTGCTAAAATACAGCTCCTCTGTACTGCATTTCTATGTGCAAAAAACTGCAGAAAATGAAGATTTACCAATTTGATATGACAGCACAAACCAGCTCCAGTCTTAACTCTCTGTGGACTTTACTCTGGCCGGTCAGTAGCCGGGAGTAAAACGTCCCAAGCCAGTTTGCCTCTGCTATTTTTGTCCCGTCATCCTCGGTACACAGGCCTGGGGTTCTCTCTGCGGCCGTCTCCATTCAAATCCCTTGATCACACCACATGCAGCTGCATCCATCATCATGTAGAAATATGTTTTACAAATTAAGGAAAACACCATTTTGAAACTGCACCATCACATCTGCTCCTACCACAATGTAAAGCCTCAAGAACACATTAAGGGCAGAATTTATAAACTGAATACACTTTTTTACCTTAATAATGTATAATCTTTTCTTTGATTAAAACATTTTATTGGATCTTTTATTCATTGAGAAACGTGGAGTTCCTGCATCCTATTCCTGAGGGTTCATGTAAACTAAATGTGGTAATTCTCCTGGGTTTATGCTGCAGCGATGCTTCACCTAGGACACAGGCAAGAAAGCAGGACATAGGAGCCAGTATTGTTGCTAAGACGGCCATTCATTCTTAATATCCACCAGACATTTTGAATTTGAAAAAAAAAAGACAGCTAAGGTAGTTGAAGTATGTGCTAGGCTTAAAATAACCAGCATGTGTAAATTAGTATCTGCAACAGCGGACTACGGACTGTACTTCAGTAGACTGCAATTCAAATGACCAGGCTCCAGTGCTCTACCTGCACTGAAAATGTTCAATATATATTTGCTTATATTAATTGAACATACTCTCTATATACATAATATGTTGGTGGTACCGATAAAATGCCTGTAGCTGTGTGGCACAATATGATTAAATTCTCACAGAATAATGTCACTACTGCACACTACAGAATTATATTTATATATTGTAATTTTCTTTTTTTTTTTTAATTGCTCATGATCTCCCAGCACTCCCTCTGTGATCTGGTAGACCCTGCTCTACCCTTTGTAGATAACTGTAGACCCCACTGCTCCATTAATATGAATGTGAGTGTGAAAGATTGTCTCCTGCCTCCAGAGTTTAATCTGCCGTCGTCAGATGACTGTTGGGATCAACTCCAGCTCCCACTGCCACACTGAAAATAATGACGATTACAGAAAATTAATTAATTAATTTAATGATCTGTGAAAGTAAACAGATATTCCCTTCGACTTATATTTGTATTTCAGGCTAGACCCAGCTGCGTCCAATCAGGATGTGGATGAGGAAGTGCATGGACCCAGTGAATACAATGTGATGTACAGGCTGGGAATATTTATTGCAGCTGGGATTTGTTTCTGCCTGTAAAGTGACTTATTAGCAGTTTTGACACATTTTACTCTGTGAATTTTGTACTGTGTGAATTTACAATTTGATGCAAACAGGTTCTGTTACCTGCCGCTGCTGCTGCTGAGATGTTAGGTAAATCATTAGGTAACACATACTGTATGTGTTACCTTCCATTTATGTTCTGTGGCTGAAATGTTGTTCTGATCAAGAGAGCTTTTCTCACTTAATAGAGAGGCTGATTCAATCCTTTAATAATTTTAAAATGGAGTTTAATAGGACAAAGTCACACTACAGTTTAGTACGGGTTATAGAACTTCAGTCAGGTCTAACTATTGGTCTGTTACCAAGTTCACTGACCAGCAGAAGACCCTGCAGGTACTTGGTTATTGTCCAGACACTACAGACACCAAAAATGATGAAACTCTGATTTGGTGTTCAGACAGATGCAGTCTAGCCAACATTTCTTTAGGTCATTTTAATTTGTGGTGGTGTACATCTGTGGGGATGCTGCCCCCTGTCTGTCATATGGTGCTTTCCTATTGATTTGCGATGTACTGATGTTTTTTGGTTGTAACAAGTTAACAACAACATCAACTATTACAAATATGAATTCATAGACTTGTTTTGTTGACAGTGTCAGTATAAAGTCCTGTGTTGTTTGTGGTCATTCATTTAACATGGAGTACTTTTATAGTTTGGTCACAGAGTTTTTGTTGGTGTACCGCTCTCTCTGCAGGGCAGCATGACCTCTGCACTGTGGTACAGAAGCTAGTGGTCATTAAAACTATGATTATAGCACCCCCTGCAGGAGAGAAAAAGTGCAAGCAGATGTAAACAAAGCAAGACTTGGTCCATACTTTTCCATCTATAAATGACAAATCTATCTGCATATAAAGCCTTTCTAATTTTGTAGCTCACCTCAACTGTTTTATGAGACACATTAGCCAATAACCCATTACCCCTCACATCACATCCTGTCCCCACAATAACCCTGGGCATCTCTGGGTTGAACTTACTTGCCTGGCGTACATTAGCAGGAAGATTACCAGATGCACTAACCAAAATTTTAAACGTTTTGTGAGAAGATCTCAAATTCACCTACTGGTCCTCAGTTTGTCTAATTATAATTTCCTTTAGTTGTTTCCAGAGTGTGTTTGTGGCCACGTCTTTTTTTTTTTTTTGTCCAACATCAACATCTCTGTGTCCTCCTTCAGTCGAGCCATTAATCTTTGATATCTGGCCTAGCAGCCTTATCTCCACTCTCCAATTTATCCACTATCTCAGTCAATATTCACACCATCTTATATTTGCCTCCTTAACCTTGTCTTCAAACTGTTTAACCTCAGCCCTTCATCTGATACGACTGTCCTAACCTGCCCATTCCCATCACTCTGCAGCCTGTGACTGTCTTATAGACAGAATCCAGTCGAATCACATGCTCATACTTAACTTAGACATTTTTAAACGTATGCAAACTCTGATCTTTAGCTTTGGTATTTTGATTAATTGAGTTCAAAATATAATTTCCTGTCAAAATAATAGTTCATGGCCTGAAAGTATGTCAGTGAGAATATGAATAGTTTCCTTGATCTGATCTTATGTTTATTTTAGAAACACATTCCCCTCAACATGTTTGCAGCAGTTGATCCTCCTTTGATTTGTGAAGATGTAAACACTTAATGAAGAAAATTAAGATGTTATTTTAAAATAGAATAATATTACTTATAGGCTGGGGACTTGTACCATTGATTTATGTTTACTTCTAGACTATTACAGTACTTGCTCTAATAAATACTAGCAAGAATACCCAGTTCATTTAGCCATGTTCTGGACCCAATCCCAGTAATCATTAGGGTGGGGTACATCCTGGATTATTCACCAATCTGTCACAGGGCCATAGTCATTCACAACAACATTTATACCTTAAATAATTATAATTTACAGTGTCAAGTGAAACTAACCCTGCCTGATTTTTGGATGGTGTGAGGAAACCATTGTAACAAACAAACATGTGATTCTTCTACTGTTAGATAAAGCCCAGTTCTTAGGATAAAACCTAATTTTGGAGGAAAAAAGTCCATACAAGTTTGAATAACCTAACAAGCAAAAATCATATTCCCAGTATTTGCGCCCCCTACAGGGAACTCCAAATTAGCATTGAAAAGCTGCTGCACTTGTGAAAACTCCCCATATTTCCTTCCACACCAATTTCCTATTTTTGCCTCCATCTATTGTGGAAACACAAACTAAAAGAGATTCTCTCCAGAGATTCTGAAACATGAATCGAAAGTACACGCAGTCCCTGGATAAACTGTGTTTTTCTACACAGGACTGAGACTGAATGCTTCATGGACTCCAAACAGCATGGTTAATGCATCCTGCTCAGGAAGGGAGCGCCACTTTGTGGCAAATCCTGTCTCCCGCTGTGGAGGTTCTCGCTGGTTCCAGTTCCCTTCCTAAAGTCTCTGTTCCATCTTAAGTAAAAATGTTGAGGGTGGTAGGTTTTTTTGTTTGTTTGTTTGGAGACCTAAAATATTTGGTATAATGTTTACATTGAGGTGGTTTTAAAGTCATATTGGACATCTCTGGTGTTTTAGTTAAAAAAAATGTAAAAAGTTACATTTAAACACAAACCTGAAAAACCGATTTACTTTAAATTGTAGTGTTGTAGTTTGGTTGAAACAGTTTCTGATGCACTCACTAAATCAATGGTTGTTTAAAAACCCCAGGAGTTGTGGGTGTGTGATGTTTTTATTGAGAAACACAAATCTGTTGTAAAAAGAAGCTC